TTAAGCTTTCTAAAGGACCTTGAATGAAGCTCTCTGTCTACTTCCTTCGCTTGAGTAAGCATGCATACTTCTCTTGTCCATTCTCAATGGGCAACAAAGAGATACATATTCTTAATCTGATTGATGTGAAATTTCAACGTGGAATAGTAAAAAGTTGAATATAATAAAAGAGTGCCAAGCCTACTGCCAAGCTCTGAATCCCACAACTCAGCGCTCAGTGCTCGTTGTGTATTCATCACATGTAATTATCTCATCAAGAAATATATTACATACTGAAAGTGCTTCTGTAAGCGTAAAAGACAACCAAAGCGAAAACTCCTTCAAAATGAGACGGAAAGCTTTCCTCGGTCTATCTTGTTGAGCCAAACTTTTGCTTAGTTTTCGTTTGCCAGCTGTATGATTTCGAATTCTCTTTCTCTTCAACAGAAGCGCACAGAAATGCACAAACTGGCGAAGTAGCAATGTTTGATTATGGCAATGGAAAGCAAACTCAGATCTGAACTGACATTTCTGGCTGATTACGCTGTCTGAGTATGGTTTTCAAACTGATTTTCACTGAAAGTACTTTTAGATACAAATATGAAAAGCGAAGAATCTATGCCATAACATACCGTGTTCTAACTTGATGTACAGTAAGAACTCCGACAGAATCGAGAGCGGGCTAGCAGCCCGTGCTGTAAACAGGAAAAATTATCACATTACCTGAACGAAAGTGAAATGTTCTGCTAATTTATCTTTTAAAAGACATGAGCAACAAACCGTACCTTGATCGACCGAAAGTGGAAATTGTAGATAGTATGTTGCCTACTTCCTGGACCTTTCGCCCCGGACCACGTGACCCGAAACGAATGACCGCGGCGAAATATTGAGGCCTAGGAACTAGGCAAGATAGGATGGACGACAAAAGTGGAAGACAAAAGCATAGTTGGTAGAACTATCTAACTATGACAAAAGCTAACTCTTTACTAGAAAACGAAATATCTCGGAGAGGATAGCTGAAAATTAAAGTCGAATTTAAGTTGGCGGAGATCATTTGTGACTCAGCTGGGCCGCAATGTATTTCGGAATACACGGTTAATCAGCTGAAATATGATCTGTCTGAGTGAGTAGGAAAATTGTCCCTTTTCTGTTGCTTAAGAGGATTCTGTGTAATGATTTTGGCGAAAAACAAGAGGCCGAATGATAATTATAAGAACCTGTATCGAAAGTTCAACTTCATACCCGAAAGCGAGAAAATTCTCTGGATTGGAGTATAAAAACAGAGGTCACGTAACATATTTCACCGCGCGACTCTCCAGTCAGTTAAATTTCAAAAGTAAAGTTGTTAGGTGCTACTCCTTATGGGCTCGAAGGAAGGCCTGATCAATGAATAATCAAAATGGTAACCTCGATCAGTTTGAAAACAACGAATTCGGCGAGGTTTTACATGGGTATCCGATCCTCTAATGGTGTTTTGGAGAGCTTACTGC